TCCCCGCTGCCGCCTAGCGAGTTCCTTTGACTTTCAACTTCCTCCCGGATCTTGTTCCTCAGACTGAGAAAAATAATCACATCGATGCGGAGTGTATCTTCTACATTTCGAAACGCAACCACTTCAGATCAAAAACAAGAAACGCTGGAAACCTTTCAAGATGTTCAAGACATGTTTCCTCTGCAAGACATGGTAGCCTCATTGGACCAACCAGCAACAGCTCACCCCTTCCGCGATAGTGGCGCACGGAGTGGGTTCCCTCCTTCATGAAGGCATTTGGATAACTCAGGGTCATGCACCAGGAAAAACAACAGCAACAGCAACATCAACAACAACTTAACAACAACAACAACAACAACGACAACAACATCATCAACAACAACAATATCAAACATCGTACAAACAACCTGTCCATGTTAAGGGCCACAGGTGAGGTGGGAAGGAGTTGATGGTCGCTTGTCCCAAAAAGGGAGACCAGTCAAGCCATAACGCCTCACGGATTCCTGTCAATGCAAACTGGCAAACGCCATCCGCTGATTGAAAAAGAAACGGAGCATCATGATCCATATGAAGAGGATCATTATATAGAGAAGTTTGAGAGAAGTCTTAGTCTTGTTTTGGATAGTTTTGGTGATATCCCCCTCGCATTGTGCCACATGTTTTCCCATTTGTTTCCAACGCATCGGCATCCTCCACGCAAACCCGCGCAAACTGGTCGACAAGTGGCTGCTCAGCCTTCAGGCGTTGGAGTTCCTAGAGTTTCTTGCGGAGAATCTTCCGGAAATGGAAATGGATGGAGTGATATGGAGTGGTAGATGTCAAGCGGACATATTGAAATGCTGACATGACTTGATGAATGAATATCAAACACCAGGGATCACCAGGGTGTCTTATTTTCGTCTTTACCTGGCTTGTGAGGCACATCAAGTGGTTTGGTTGACCAGCAAAACACTGCGCTCAAGGTCATTGTTTCAGGGCGCGGTGCTGTCTCCTCCTTCTCTGCAAAGTCCTCATAACTGTGAAATAAATGACATGAATGACGATTCATCCACTCATTATCTGTTAGATTTGCAACATCATGAAACATCTAATTAAACCCGCCACTCTTTCTAATTATTGGACTTGACGAATTGGACTCGGATATCCAAATTCGGATCCCATTCCTTCGATTTGCCCCTCGAACCCAACGGGGCGGGGCGGGGCGGTCCGTGTGTGCATGAGTTCACCGCATCTTCTGGGATGAATCCCTCCGTCACCCAAAACGGATCCGTGTATATATATATACCTTTACAACCCAAACCCTTTAAAAAGAAAGGTTTTCCACCAAGACATCGGGTTTGCTCGAAATCTACTGAAAAGAAAGGGTTGGCCCGAAAAACATCGGGTTTCTAAGACATCCATCAGAATCAGAGTTTTTTGGGATAGGTTCCACAAATTCTGCCTCCGGCACCGAAGCTCAGGCGCGCCAACTCATTCAGATCAAGCTGCGCTGGGGGCAGCTTGGGGTATCAGGGGTGTTGAGACAACATCAACCAGACTACACCGATCAAACCCCAAGGTGTCAAATAATGTAATTTTGGATACCAATTTTTCACACACGGATGAGATGTTATCCATGCAGTCTATATAGTTCCATCTTGTGGGCCAACTTCACAACACTGTTATTGCTGCCAAACCTGTTCAATTCCAAAACAACTCTGTACAAGTCATGCCCGTGCTCGCAAAAATGGCCAGTTTTTCGCACAATGTCGCCAAGTTCATCTTCCACTGGCAAGCCGGGATGCCCAGTCCTGCACACAGTGTTGGCTGCGCAAAGGGGGAGTCAAAGTGATTAGCTGAAGTTATCTGAACTTCACTACCCTCCAATGCTCCAAAGCCATTTGGTGCTCAAGGGGTGGTGGGAAGCTGAACTGAAAAGTTCATCCCTTGTCCCGGAGGATGGTATTGAACAAAAAGAAGCCCGCCGGTCGCCCCAAATTGAATGTGCATGAGGTGCTAGACATTTCTGGCCTTCACATGGATTGGGACTCAAGTTCTGAGCTTCGCGACCGTCTTCGGGATGGTGGTTCCTTGTTGGAGGGTGAGCATGGGGAAGATATACCGAGTACCCTCAAAAATGTCCTTGTGCTACAACCCTTGATTACACGGATGAGCTTGACCGAAACCAAGCCACTTCCTGTGATAGACACTTTGAGGGACGAGGTTGAGCGCATCTATGTGAAGAACAAGCGCCAGAACGCCCCAGAGACGGCCCCGGATGTTGTTGCCCTGTCTTGGAGGATTCGGAAGCTGCTAGGCTTCCTCAAGATGAAATGTCGACGCAGGGAAGTTTCTGGGGCGCCTTTATTGCATTGAGTCTCAATTGTACATGGGCATATCTACCGTGCAACCTTACACCGACTTCGTTTGGACTTGTTAAACCTTCCTTTCGTTTGATGATGTGGATGCATATATGCAAGCAACCTGTTAATAGTGAAATGTGTAACAGTTCAACAGTGGGTTCGAGGTGGCAGCATTTCAGCAACTTTGCATGGAATTGGACTCTTCACTTCAGGAAGGGTTTATGCGGTCATGGAACACAGGTCTTTAGAAGCTATATGGTTAAGGCTACTTCAACTCTCAAATCTCACATGGTACAATGTTTGTATCTTCCGTAGGAGACGGTGGATGATGTGAATCGCAAGATTGAAGAGCGCAAAGAAGCGCGTCGTCTGCGAGGCTCAGGTGAAGGTCTTGAGGACTCACTGCACTTCATGAAATGGCAATGTCAGTTGTTTGTATATTGTTTTTGAATTCGGTTCTAGATTTTGCCGATGTCAAACGTTAAAGTTTCTCATGAAAAGGTTGAGCTCAACAGGAGAGTGAAAAGGAAGATGACCATGCAGAAGGTGAAGAGGAGTCAGATTCTACAAGTGATGTCGAGGTAGAAGAGGTAGAACCTGATGCTAGCAGTAGCGCTATGAATGGGGAGGTTCCAACACAAGAGCCAAATGGTTTCCAGCCCGAAACGTCACAAAAGCTTTCTGATGGTGAAGGCCGAGAAACTGCAGTAGTTTCAAGTGGTTCCAAGAATGAAGGGGATACTGGCGCGACGGGTGCTGAAGCTTCCCCTCAAAGTGGGATGGAGCCTCAGATAGAGATCAAAGAGCCCAATCCAGAACCAAAGCAGGAATACCCAGAGCGACAGAAAGAGGGTTTAGAGATCAAAGAGCCCAATCCAGAACCGAAGCAGGAACAGCCAGAGTCACAGAAAGAGGGTTTAGAGATCAAAGAGCCTAAGCCAGAACCGAAGCAAGAACAGCCAGCGTCACAGAATGAGAGTGTAGAGATCAAAGAGCCCAAGCCAGAGCCAAAGGAAAACACAGATCCACAGACTGAGAGATTACCTTCGACCAGTGACACTGATAGACCCATTCCGAAAGAGAACAGCACGGTGAATGAAAGCGTTGGAGGGACATGCAGTGGCTTTGACGGCATCTACCGGCATATATTGTGTTTTTTGCACGGCAAACCTCATCGATTATAACTTATATGTGCTGCACTTAAAAGAAATTGAACTTATATGGGCGCAAATTGGCTTGAATTAAGGCAACATGGATATGCTCCAGAAGAAAAGGGAAGAAGTTCTTGCAAGATTGGCCTCGCTTTTAGCCTGCATTCCAGCTTAGTTTTGTTTTTGCACCTGAACCACAGAGCAATGAGCCAATGAACCTATGAACCCGAATTTGTGGAATCTGCAAAACACACTAAGGCTCCGCTCCTGTTCCCCCGCAAGTGTGTCTGGTGGTGCCACGCCGCCTTCAACAGGACCAAGACCAAGTGGAGTCAACAAGTGTTGTTCAATGGGTCAGCTAATCTTTGCGTACATGTGGTATAACCAATTAAAAGCTAAAGCACCCAGTCAGCAATCAAAGATTTACTATCGATACATGTGCAGGCGTGATGAAAAGCCTACCAAAGGCAACAGTGCAAATTGACCTAGTGGAGACGCAGCCCATAGATGTGATGTCCACGGATCCACCAGAAACACCGACGGCGGAGGCTGTAATTTCACCAGATCATTCAGCGGAGGCGAAGCGGGCAACTTACCAGCACAAGCCAATGCACGACAAAGCCCTGAAAGTTGACCCGGATGCACCCAAGAAGGAACCTGCGGAACCCGAGAAGCCACCGCAAACCAAGAACGGGAATGATTTCACAGAGAGTGATTCTGAGGCTGGGGAAAGTGTTGTGCGAAGGGCTCTGTGCATTTTCCATTAAGTTTCATATGTCATATTTTATTCGTGCCAGGCGCCGCCTGCGGAAGCAGCCACGACGAGGAGGGAACAATTGGAACTAAAGAAAAGTAGAAAAGACAAAGAGGTGCTAGAAAATGAGGGGAAACCTGCAGGCAAAGGCCGAGGCAAAGGTCGTGGGAGACGTGGGCGAGGGCGTGGAAGAGGCAAGCCTGATAGCGAGCAAACTCCAGAGGCAACAGCCCGAACCAGAAAGGCAAAGGGCAAGGCACAGGTTGAGGAGATGTCGGAAACAGAGAAGATCTACGGATACACGGTGGATGAATGGGTTGCTTGGGGACTGCAACCAAGCTGGGAGGGTTGGGGTGGGAATGGCGAAAGCGACTGGGATCAACAACAAGCCTCGGCAGCATCACATCTTTCAACACCGCAGTCAGCAAAGAGCAGGAGGACCCAGAAGGGAAAGCTAAAGGAGGCAGAAAAGGAAACTACCAACGAGAGAGCACCAAAGAGATCTAGAAAGAGCAAAGAGGCTATGCCCGACGAGGTTGAGGATGCTGGCCAGGAGCAGAGCAGGGGCAAGAAACAAAACAAGAAGGATAGAGGCAGTGAACCAACTCATGAGCGCAAAAGGCAAAAGCAGAAAGCTACAGAGAGCCTTTCGGGCACCACTGCGCACATTGACCAGGTCGAGCAATCCACGGTGTTGCCAGCTACAAAAGATTTGAGGGTAAGGGAAATGTTGAAGTACCTCAAAGGCTTGAAAGGTCACGAGGAAGAGGAAGTCCATCAACTCATGCGGATGAGGTTGCAGCCATTTGACGCATGCCGAGTTAATATCTATTGGTCAAGGGCAGCTGTAGGCCTCAAATGCCGGGCTGAGAAAAAGGATTTTGCTTACTTCCCTGCGAAGAACTGCACACGCCCAACAGTGTTCCTTTTAGCAGCCGCACTTAAAGCAGCGGAGATGCTAGCGACTTGTATGCGTTTCTTGATGCAAACCTTGAAATGTATTTAGTACTTCATATCATTCATATTCGGGAGCATCTTCAGAATTAACGGTACAAAAATGGCAGCCAGCCTCCATTCTTTGCTGAGGCAAGGTTCGTGGATGAGGTCAAGGGCCGTGAGGAAACGGATCCCAATGCCAAAATCACAGAGAACCAGGCTGTGCTGAACATGTCGGCCCAGCTGAAGGAACTCATGACCGATGCTTTGAACATTTTTGATGACGTGAGAGATTTTTGATCCGATCCTAACTCCCTGCTTCGAGTGGCGGGACAGTGCTACATAGGTGACTGTGCTTGTGTGCTGGGTTGGCAAGGTGATGACATCTTGCCCTATTTGGGGATAGCACACGAAACCGGTTGCAGGTGGCCTTCCCGTTTTGAAAACACATCGAACTATATGACCTTAAAAAATGATATATGCGACCTGGTTCTATGAGGCTTGTTTCGTTGGTCCACCGTTGGCGCTGGGACCCCTTGAAAGACTCATGAGGGGATAAAATTTGACGAT